TCTTCAAAATATTTGTATTTAATGGCTACTAGATGTTATCAAAGGCTTTTTTCTATTGTTCTTTTTTTTAATTCTATTTTATCTATGCAGAAGATTGCTTTTCAGCAATACCCTGATGTTTGCATCACTGTAGCTTTGTAATTAACTTGAGGTCTAGAACTGTGATTTCTCCTGGTGTGCTATTTTTGGCAGGATTGATTTTGCTATTCTAGGTCTCTTTTGATTCCATATGAATTTTAGTACTGTTTTCTATTTTCTGGCCTTTGTTCCATTTATGCAGTATATCTCACTTTTCATTTGAGTATATTGAACTGGCCCTGCGTCCATAAAATGAATGCTACTTGATCTTTGTCACTTGGTACATTCTATTTGCCAATTCCTTACTGAGAATTTTGCAACTTTGTGTATTACAGATGGACCTATAGTTCTCTTTTTTTATTGGAACTTTGTTTGCTTTTGAGATCAGGTTAATGCCTCCTTGTAGAAATGATTTTGGGAAAACTGCTTCTCTCAGTTTTGTTCAGGAATTTGAGAAATATTGCCATTAGAACGACTTCTGACACTGCCAGTCCTATGGAAAGCCCACTGCTATTATGGGCTACTGGACTATTTTGGACTATTTTGCTGAATTCACGCACCTACAATATGTAAATGAAAATGGAATACCCTTCTGTGAAAAAACTAAACAACAAAAGGGAATACAAAGGAAGGAGCATTTTGTATCTGTATATACAAAATAGTTAGGATAGATATACATACAGCTACTTTCTCTTAGTTCAATGAGAAGAAAGATTTGTTCTAATAGTGTTTGGACAGGATATCATGTCTGCATCTTGTACTATGAATAACCACTACAAAGACAACAATAAGCAATGGATTAATTATTGAAACTGTCCTGCTAATTGGTTTTGAAACTGTCCCATTGCTATTTGTTTCTCAATAAAATTATTCTAAAACTAATTTGTTTTATAGTCCAGCAGTGAATCCTTTGATATCTGTTCTTTACTTAGCTGATAGTTTAGCCTTTTGATGACTGGTATTGAATTCTTCAGAACTTTATGGATGGTGGTCACTTCTGCTGCTGACAATTCCTGTGCAATATGTATTCTCTAAGACATTGGTTTGAAATTCATCATGGACTGTAATTCTTTGATACCTTGTTCATTATGTTTTGTATCATTCGATTTATCTCAGCTAGCATTTTATTAATGTCTTTGGAAAGTGCTTCGATCATTTTGGGTAATCACTTACATTGTCTCTTTTAGTTATATCTTCTATGATTCCACTGAGTTTCTCTTTCATCTTTTTCTGACCTTCTTTGTTATCATTCCAAGTTTATATCTTATGCTATTTTCCCTCTTGAAGTACTGTGGACTGGATTTGGGTGAGTTGGAAATTTTGCTAGGCATTCTGTGACATTCTCTTCTAGTGGGTTGTGTGTGTGTGTGTGTGCCCATGTATGTGTGTGTTTGTGTGTGTACGTGTTGAATTTTGTGGCACTCATGTTGCAGAGACTTTGTAGCTAGTAGACATTTATTTTTTAGTTTTCTTTTCAGTGATATTGTTTTGGCATAGCTGACAAGAATCCTTTTCATTTGCTCCAAGACTTTACCATGTGTTTTAATTTCAGAGGAGAAGATGCAGTGGGAATTGTCATGCAGACAAAAACACTAATGGCAAAAATTATGGAACCTGTATATGTCTAGCAAATCAGCTATCACAGGCTCATGAAAAACATATTGGATATTAAAAAAAGAAACAATAAAGTTCCATGATTAACTATATAGAGTAGAAATCCACAATAGCAATTTAAACATGAGTCAATAAAATACTGAAATACAGCTAATATGTATTAAATACAACATCCATAACTCCACTAACTTGTAGAAAAAAATTGAGTCATTTTACAGTCTTACCCAACTATATAAAGTTTAAGAAAATTTCATGTTAATACCATTAAAGATATGAGGATCTGGGAAATAGAGAATACAAGAAGAAAAATATGAAATCTCATGAGGAGGACAGAGAATTGGGACAAAAGATTCTATTAAGGACACGAAGATAAGAATGTTTATAAGCTCAGGTAAATATAACAGGATAAAACCAGTGTGAAATTGAAACAACAAAAAAGGGAGAAAAACCATACAGAGATTGAAAATAAGGGAAGATTAATTGCCAAAAGGGGGGAAAGAAAAAAAGACATGAGAACAAGATAAGAATTTTTTCTGATATTAAATAAACAGCTTCATTTTCTCAGATGTCCTTCTGCTTTCACAGGCTACAGCTGTTTCCAAGACAAGAGATGTCACTACTCCCACTGGTAGATAAGTGCAGCCAGACCTGAAATCCATGCTGGATACAAGGAAAAGGGTAATGGAACTGATAACCAAACCAGGACTTTCAAATCCTAAGCAAATCAGTCTTGACCTGGCATTTGACCAAAAGGCATGGGTCCTGTGCCCTTCCCAGCTGAGCTCCAACCCTTGTGGTGTCTCTTTCCCACTCTTCTATGTCCAGGGATGTTTGCTGAGACTGTCTTTCATGAAATTACTGTGGGGGAGTAATACCGAGAACCCTGAAGTGAAGCTGTCCCATGACTGTTCCGAGTCCTGCATTCAAATATTCAAACTTTTCCAAGAACGTTAACCAAACGCAGTCACTCTGCCAGGACATGGCTGGCACCTGCAGAAGGGTCACTCACCCACTGCTTCCTGTGTATAGACTGTGACATCAGCACTCCACACTGTTCCTTCTGATCATAGTACCTTCTACTCCACTGAAACAGCTTTCCTCACTGGGGCTTTTTGAGTACCTAGGTTTCACTTTGTGTTTTTGCAGATTTCATCCCATTCCCATGAGACAAGGAAAGAGAGAACTAAATTGTTTCCTTTTCTGCATTGCAAAATGTCTCTTCACTTCTCTGTAATTTTTACTTTTCCTGTTATTTCCTTCTGGATTTCAGAAGATCTACTTCTCTTTCTTTGTTGTTTCTTTTTATTTTTCTTTCTGTCCCCAAGATAATATTTTCCATACTCTGAATTCTGAAGCTCTGAAAGGCTGAATTAGTATTGTTCACCACTCTGCCTTTTTGCAGCACTGAAAGTGTGTTAGGTAACCCACACGTGTAAAAAGAAAGGACCCCACAGAGCCCAACTTCGTTTGGTATCAGCCTGGAATTCCTGGTGAAACGGGGTAGACAGGGATTAATGTCAATTCTGCTAAGTTGTTTTATTTTGGAGGACAAAGGGAAGTGAAGACCTGGATCCAAGTGGTAACTGCAAGTCAGTACAGGGAGCAACATTAAATTGAGAACTCCAGGAGTACCAAGCTATGGCCTCTTTCTTAAGACTCAGGGCGGCAGCTTTCCAGAAACAGCACACCCACAGAGTCTGCTCGTCCACTAGGTCAGCCTTCAGAGGGCCCAAGTGGCATGCCCACCTCTAACTCGGGCTAGAAGATAGGGAATGGGGCGTCATCAGCGAGATACGAGCAAGCATGGCCATGAGGAAGATGGAGGCAATACAGGAACACATACATGTTACCTTACATATTACCTCATTGCTGAGACACCGTACCTGACGTTTTTAATTCAGTGAAGGAAAGTTGAGGGGAGCCTCAGAACTTATAGAACTTTCCATCCATAGTCAGCCAGCTCCAAGGCAGAACCACAGAATGGAAGGGTCTGATGGGAGGCCCTTTCAGTGTGAGGCTTCTCTCTTAGTTCTGAACTATTGGTCTCAGAGAGATGAAGTATTTGTTTTAAGCAGCTTTGAATCCAGGAAACAGAAGTAGGGTCTCAGGTTCTATCAAGGGGCTAGGTGAGGTAGAGAGAACCCACTCACCTGAACAAACCTTACCCTAGCCACAACCTGTTCCTTTTATCATCTGTAGTCATACCCAGGAAATACACAGTCCCCTGACTTTGATTTAAGGGTCTCACATACACATAGGTAAAGTTTAATCATGGTAGCCTCAGGTCTTACTAGGCAGAATCCCAGACCTAAATATTTATTAAGACAAGGATGAAGTAAGTTCCCTTTCCTAGGCTACATGGACAGAAATTAATCTTTCCACTTCAACTGTTGCTCCGTGCACTGTGCCATGTGACTTTCTCCTTTATTATCTTTTATACCACATGAGGCATGGAGATACTCTTTTGTAAGAGTTAGCCTTGGGCCAGTAAAGGGCTTGTGTCTAGCATCTTTTCTAGAGATTTGAGGACTCTGAGTGAGTACAAAGGGGACTATTTTCCCAGTGCAGGGACCTCACAAGGCCCAGCATGCCCCATCCTGTAAGAGTTGGAAGACGCACTCTGCTGAGGTTTTCAGCCTGAGATGTCCCCAATGTCCCTTACAGGATATCCAAGATGCAGAAGAGAGTCTTTATCTGGGGTTCCATCTTCAGATGACACAACAGAAGATTTCAAAGAGTCACGGTAAGAGGCCTACAATAACTGTGTACCTGTGACTCCACCTGTCCAAGGACAGAAGGGATTCTTTCTCCCAAGCTGCATAATCCGTACAATCAGACAAGAGCTTTCTCTGAGGTTAACCTGCAGCCTGAGCAGTCTCACATCCTGACCCTATTCTTGGGGATGGTGCCTCTAGGACAATACTCTGTGAATATAGCCCAAAGGGTAGATCACTAATGGGCTTTTGCCAAGTCCTCTTCTCAGGTGAGAACACTCACACTATCCCTCTCTCCTCCAGGCATCTGAATCCTCATCTCCAAGTGCTTGCTGTCCACAAGGATTCTCAACATTTTCATGGTCAGGAGGTTCAACTTATCAAGCTCGAAGGAGGCCTCCTTTTCTGAAGAGGAGTACAGGGCCTGGCGGGTGTGCAGGTACTGAAGCCTGTCAGAGAGGAAGAAGGACTCACTGCTTCCTCTGACTCCTCAATCTCTAGTACTGAAACCCTTGCTACATCAAGTGAATTGTATTGGGCTAGGGCAACAAGTTTCCCCCAGAATCCTCAGGGTATCTCCTGTCCAGCCCTGCCATGGCCTGCAGTAAGAGCAACCAACACATTGGGGGCTGCATCAGGAAAGAAGAGGAAAATCTATGCACCTCCCCAGATGTGCTAGTTCTTCTGTTTCTGTGCCGTCTGTATCAAGATAATAAGATAGCTAAATTGTTGCCAGTCCTAATCCTCAAGTATCAAAAGGAGGAACCGATCACCAAGGATGAAATGCTGCACAGTGTGGACCCCCGTTACCATGGGCAGTTCCCTGTGTTATTCAAAACAGTCTGTGAATGCTTGTGTCTGGTCTTCAGCATTGATGTGCAAGAGCTGGATCCCCCTGGCGAAACATATGTCCTTCTGCCTGTCTTGGGCCTCACGTATAATGGGGTACTAGGTGATGATTACCAGAGCTTTTCCAAAATCCACCTCCTGATAGTCATCCTCACAGTCATCTTCCTGAAAGGTAACCGTATCAGTGAGGAAGACTTAAGGGACTTCCTTAAAACAAGGGAAATGTTACCACAGAAGGAACACTTTATTATCAGGGAACCCTGGGAATTCATCACTAAGGATTTGGTTCAGGGAGGGTACCTAGAGTTTCGACAGGTAACCAATAGTGACCCTGCTCAGTATGAGTTCTTGTGGGGTCCAAGGACCTATGCAGAAACCACCAAGATGAAAGTGCTGGAGCATTTGGCCAAGGTGAATAGCAGAGATCCCCGGTCCTACACACATCTATATGACGAGGCCTTGAGTGAGGAGCAAGGGGTGCCCCATCCATGTGCTCTGCACCAATAAGGGGCAAGCTGCAAGCCAGTGGCAGAGTGTGTTCCCCATCACACCACTATCTTAGTTCCCACCCCATGGCAAGTGAGTCTCATTCTTCCTTCTCTGTTTTTGGATAGCTCAGTTTTCTAAGCACTCCAGAGCCAGATGAAGAGTAAAATCCCGTGCATATCATCTGTGTCTGTACTACTTGCATTACTTAGAAATGGACCTGTGTGTTCTTCATGACTTTTTGAAGTCTTGCTTCTTTTTTTCAAGTTTGACATAGCTTGCACTTGTTATTTGATAGTGAAGATTGACTGTGATTTCTGATGTGAATGTGATGTTTTGTGCCATTGATCCCACAGGAAATTTGCTCTTCCTTTGCAAATGTTAGTCTTTGCTATTTTGCCTAATTAACTTGGAAATCTTTTATTTTATTTGGAAAAAGATACTATTGTATTAAAGTGGGAATTTTCTTGGAGATGTGTAAGAAGTTTCCATTGAGTTAAATAAAGAAAAAGACATAAGAATAAAAATCCTTAATTTTTATTTTTTTTACCTGTTGTCCTATACTATTACAATACATGTGTTGAGGAATATGCTTGGATTCTTCAATTATATGAAAGTTTCTGTCAATAAAGAAGCCCTTCTTGTGGGCACATTGACCCCAAACTTCTGTTGCACATGTGTTCTTTGTAGGACCCATATCTGTAGAAGAAATGAGTACCTAGCCTAAGCAGGATCAAGTCTACTCCATAATGGGTAGACTCCAGGAGTCCCACCAATGTCAGCATACAGACAGATTACCTCAAGAAACTAAAGACCATGAAAAACACTTTGGGACTGGAGTAGAGCCGAAAGCAGCCATGGGTGAGTGCTGAGTCATGGCACTTTTGTGGCTTGGTGTAACTGCACTTCTTCGTAAGGGAGCTGATATTAATGCACCTGAAAAGCAGCCAGGGCCACACCCTCAGATAAAATGTCCTGGGTCTGAGGTAAAAACCTCAGAGAACAGTAGACTGCTCTGAGCAGTGCTTTTTCATTGTGGGTGAAGCTGAGTGGAATTTCCTTTTTTTATTTTTATTTATTTTTTATTAATGTTATTGGGAAACAAATCGCAACGACACAGTTTCAAATCTTTCTTCTCACTGAGCTAAGAGAAAGTAGCTGTATGTCTATCCTAACTATTTTGTATATACAGATACAAAATGGTCCTTCATTTGTATGACATTCGTACGACACAGTTTCAAAACAGATTAGTACGATAGTTTCAATAATTAATGCCTTGCATATTGTTGTCTTCATAGTGGTTATTCATAGTACAAGATGCAGATATGATATCCTGTCCAAACACTATTAGTACAAATCTTTCTTCTCATTGAACTAAGAGAAAGTAGCTGTATGTCTATCCTAACTATTTTGTATGTACAGATACAAAATGGTCCTTCATTTGTATCCCCTTTTGTTGTTTAGTTTTGTCAGAGAAGGGTATTCCATTGCCATTTAAATATTGTAGGTGTGTGAATGCTGAGTGGAATTTCCCTATGAGAAGTGTGCTCCTACACAGGAGGGAAACGAGGGGACTTAGCCACAGCCTCTGCAAGGATTTCTCGAGAGGTAACAGTGACTCTCAGGTGAAATGGCACCCTAAAGTCCCTGGGCAGGTGCTCTCTTCTCTGCTGAGAGTGTCCACTGTTTGGGTTCTTGCGGTGCCCACTTGACTGTTTTCTCAGGGTCAGCTTCTCCTGTTGAGTCCACTTTGCCTGAACATTCTTGCAAGGTGGGTGTCCCCATTTGGTCAGTAGTGTGGGCCTCTTCCACAAGTGATCCGTTCATGGCCTGACCAAGAGGCTGTCCTTCCAGAGAGCCTTCTCAGAGTTTGGGAGTATCTTCCTTCTGTCTTACAGGAGAACTTTGTTTAGATCAGTTGTCACATATTCCTTTGTGAACTAATCTTAATCTGGTGTTACATTATGTAACTTGGCTTGAACATCCGCAGACCTGCATCTGGGTTGAGCTGGCCTTGTCACTGGAATGGCCAGGGTTTTAGACCTCTTTCCAACAGAGGCCTTGTGAATCCCAAGGCTAGAGTTTTAGAGAAGGTGATATGGTTGGAATTAGTTTTGTCAGTGGAAGCAGAGTGGTTAGGGAGGAGAATATGATTATTCACCCAAGATCCAAAGGTCCAAAACAGTGAAATATTTGTTACTGGCAAGAAATTTCTCCCCAATATCAAATCAGGTAATACATCCTATTTGGCGACAACACATTGGTGGAATGTTTACTGAGTAGCATTTTGCCTGATTTTCTTTTCATTTTCTTATTAACCTGCAGCATCCTTGGGAAAGATACAAATTTTATAGGAAAGGGGTCATATCATCCAGGGTAAATCATACTAGAACCAGCTATTTATCAAGTATTCAATATATAATATGTCAGAAATTCTGTTAGACATTTTAATAAGCTTTTTACATTCCACAGGTCTTACAACCCAAAATATATGTCAAAACCATTTTCTAGATGAAGGACTTGAAGACTTCTGAGATCTGGATCTTCTCAGGATATCTAATGACAAGGCTAGCAAGAGACTTTTAGTCTGTGGTCATCTAGTGTCCAACTTGTTTTCCACTCCTCCCACCTTGGATTGAACTCTAATTCTGGATTTATAAAATAAGAGAAATTTTAAAAATAATCACTTAAAGCGGATCATAAGGCACTCCTTGTCTTTACAGGTAAATTTGGATAGTTTTTAAGACCATCCTGACAATTTTGTAGGATTGAAATGGAAGGAGTTTCAAGAAAAGTTTCATGTAACAGTTATGTAGGTGTGTAAGTTATGTAGATGGTCTGAACCCAAAGTTCTCTGATATGATGGAGGTGACAGAGGACCTTGCTTACCACAGTAGAAGAAAGAAAAACATCTGTTGCAAATGTACTCTTCTGGAACCTGAAGTCCTCTAAGGAAAGGGTAAGTGTTTCTTTGTTAATCTCAAAATAAAAATAGAGACATCTTTCTTCTCCAGTCTCTCATGTGTGTCTCTCCACACAGGGAAATACTTATTTTCAATATGGCAAAAGGTGCTTGTCCTGATATTCAGACAAGAACAGTGATACAGCTGTAGGAACAGCTCACAGGTTAGCAAACTGACCATGAATCCAAGGGCATGAGAATATGCTAAAGCTGCTAAAATTGGAGGTAACTGAGAAAGTAAGAATAGAAGAATGCTGACACATGAAGAATGAGATACTCTGTTACTAATATTTTAGAATACTGTGAAAATACCATTGATTCTATATCTGAATCATCTATCATATAGTAAGTAGTTACTTGCAAAAGTTGAATAAGTTTCAAACCTATCTCATTTTCTGAAAAATTCCTATCTAAATGTAAGAGAATTTTAATAGATCAAACTTGTTGCTTTTGTTCACTCACATACCTGCAATTAGCCACTTAAGGTGACACTACAAATTCTCACCAACACATAGCTTGTCTTTACCTGTTTTTTAAACCATGGAAGCATTACAGTTCAGTTGTCCATAAGTATAGGCACTAGATTATCCTATTTCTCTGAAATACTTGAAGACCATTACTTGTTCTTTATAACCATAACTGTAGGAGGTGTTGAATGAGTCCTGAAATAATATTTCTGCCACTGCCTCACATCACATAGATCTCTCTGCCTCTCTAAGTGGTTCACATATGCATGTCACTACCATTGATAGGAATAAGTTGATTTTTGAAGGTCCTGGGCAGTAGCAGGCCCTCAGATACCAATGGCAGAGTTTCCATTATGCCTCTCCCTCCCTTAAGGTTCCTGAGCACATCTATGAATCACATAACAGTTTTGATCCCTGTGTGAATGGCAGCTGGTGCCCACATCGCCCAGTCCCTGTGCTGACTGGAGAATTCCTCCTCCTGCAGCAATACCCCATTGGCCCACCCTCTCCTGCCCTGGACTCTGCTGCCCAGCTTGGAGCGTTATGTTCTCTGTCTCCCTACTGCCACCCTTTCGGCCCACGCCAGGACCCAGGACTAATGGTGACATAAAAATACCACCTGAGGATGTGTGGTAACAATTATATTCTTAAGTTCCTCCTCCACGGTTCCCGAGGAGCTATGGTGTACAGCAAATAGAAGTACAGAATGAGCAAGTTACTCATTCCATGAGGCAGCAGACTCCAGACTTGGTTTAAAAGCTGAGCTCAGAGGTGGCACTCCACAGCCAGTGACTGCAAGTATGAGCCTTGATTTCAACAGACAACTCAAAGAAATAGACCCACCTGCCCATTCTGTGGCAGCAAAGTTCGCACCTTTGCGGTGCTACTCCTCACAGAGTGCAGCTGATCCTTTCCTAAATCAGTTCTCGTGAGCAGGGATGGTGCGCAAGGACTGTGCTCTATTGCCATCGGCTCCCAAAGCACAAGACTAGTCTACTGGGGCTTCAGGGCGTTCTGGACCTCCATGCTGTCCTTGACAGTGCTACAGGCCAGTTAGATGGAAACGCTTAGGTTTAATTTCTCTCAGATTATGAAATCAAGAGGATATATATATATATATATATATATATATATATATGATACTAGGGATTAAACTCAGGACCTTGCACTGGCCAGGCAGGCGCTTACTCTACTGAGCTATCTCCCCAGCCCCAGAGGCCATATATTTTGGCTAAAAGAAAAAATAAGCATCTATCTAAAGCTAGCTCTGAGATAAAAGGGCCCATGTGTCTCAGTTCAACATCTCATCTTGTCCAAGTGACCAAAAGCCTTTAATCATACAGAACAGATACAGGGACAGCACAGAGCCCTCAACCCCTGCCTTATCGTTTCCAGCAGCCCTCAGCACATCCTGCTCTAAGCAAGCTCCAGCCTCCTGCTGTTGGGGGCCTCTGAATACTCTGTCTCTTCATTTGGGCTGAGGAGAAGAGGGATATTCATTACACATTCAACAGGAAGAAATTTGCATTAGTTGCTTATGTTGAAAAGAAAAATATCTCATTTTTATAGTTTCATTTTACATTGTCAATCAC